AGTGGGTTAAGCATCTGCCTTTGCTCAGGTCATGATCTCAGGGTCCTGGGATCAAGCCCCGCATCAGGCTTTCTGCTCAGTAGGGAGCCTGCTTCCTCCTCTCTCTCTCTGCCTGCCTCTCTGCCTACTTGTGATCTCTCCCTCTCTCTCTGTCAAATAAATAAATAAAATCTTTTAAAAAAAAAAAGTTATGACAGGAGAGGTTCCCCCCTACTTTTAGCATCTACACTATTCCTGAAGTCTACATGTAAAAAATTCAGTCTGTTTTGAAATATAACGAAATAGTGCATTTTTTCCCCTAAACCATTTTATTAATGAACTGTAATAGGTTTTCCATTTCTCTAGTCTTTAGTTTGAGTGCTAGAACTGGGTTAGTGTATATCACTATAAATGTGACTGAAATTATCTTAACATTTGTATTTCGATATGATGAGCCGGAAATTCAGAATACTTTACATTATTTGTCATGTATTGGGAAGCCCAACCATTAAGTGATGTACTTTTAAAGATTTTATTTACTTATTTGACAGACAGAGATCCCAGGACCCTGGGATCATGACCTGAGCCGAAGGCAGAGGCTTTAACTCATTGAGCCACCCAGGCGCCCCAAGTGATGTACTTTTATACCACCTTAATTTCTTAAGCCTCTGATTAATCCGGAAAAAGCAGGCCAGAGGTGTTCTGTGTGTGGTTGTTGCCTGCATCAGTTAGTCTTGTGCTCAAGTGGATTTTTATTTTTTAGTAATTTATTGTTTGCCCTTCCCTTATGCCCAACCCAGACACCAAATATCTGATTTTCTAATGACATCATTGTCTCAGAAGCATCTGGTTTTGGTAAAGGATTCTAAGTCCAATAAGGTCAGAAACAGCAGCAAGTGAATTTAGAAGAAACAAATCTTGTGAATGTTCTTTTTTTTTTAATATTTTATTTATTTATTTGACAGAGATCACAAGTAGGCAGAGAGGCAGGCAGAGAGAGAGGAAGGGAAGCAGGCTCCCTGCTGAGCGGAGAGCCCTATGCGGGGCTCTATCCCAGGACCCTGGGATCATGACCTGAGCTGAAGGCAGAGGCTTTAACCCACTGAGCCACCCAGGCGCCCCGTGAATGTTCTTTTTAAGTAGATGTGGAAATGATTTTTAGCAATAGTATGATACAGAATATTTATATAACATTTCAAAATTACTCTGGATTTTGAGTCTTTAGAATACAATACTTTTTCAGTGTTGGTGTTTTCAAAAGTTCTGCATGGGGGTTGAGGGGGAGGCTGTGGAGGGCACTGCTGAGCTCAGTGCACTTGACAGTTCTTCCCAGTGAGGGTCGCCTCTGTTAGGATTGTTGCTTTGCCCGCCGCCTCCTTCTTTTTCCACTTACCTTGTCCTTGTTCTTGGTCTGTCGTGACCTCTGCCCTGTTTGCTTCATCTCTTCTGTTGGACTGTTCTTATCTTAGAACTCCAGTGAGAAACTGGTGGGAAACATTTTATATCTGCTCATGATCCTGTGGTCATTGTTGGAGTCTTGGTTGGTTCCGAGATTACATGGACATCCTTTGTTTTCGGAAAGACTCGGTGTCTTTCACATGAGTGAAAGGTTTTTGCGGGTCACCAAATAAAAAATTTTAAATCTGTCTCTGGGGTCTTACTTGAAGAATTAAAAAAAAAAAAAATCCTCACTACTAAATAGATATTTAATGCCAATTTAAATGGATGTCATTTAGAAGGGATCTTCAACCATCTAAATACTGTTGGAACAACTTGTGACATTATTTGGTTTGGTGAATTCTATAATGAATCCTGTAATATATAAAGATGGCATTGCACGCACCCATTCTTAATGAGATTACATTTTAATGGAAATATTTCCATCCTTCACTCCCACCCAAAGCCTGTTTTCTTCCTTTTCCAGTTCCCTGAAAGCTTTTCGTCTGCCATTTGGTTATTGCTGCCACCTTATGTCACAAAGTAAAATTGCAATGGGCTTGGCTTTTTCAAAAGATTTGCACTAGCAAGCAATTTATGGAAATAGCTACTTGAGAGCAACAGTTGTTTTTCTCTGCACTCTGAAGTGATGGCCAAGGGTGGAGAGATTCTAGGTAGTGTATATTTCACAAGCAAAAGGTGCAACTAGCAAAACAGGAAGGGATTTAAGAAGCCTTCGCCCTAGCATAGAACAAATGGCCTGTGTGACCTTGGCATGCACTTCTCCCTCATAAAACTGGGCTTAAGGCTCTCAAAGATATATTCCAGCCTTAATGTTTTGGGTTTTTTTCTTCTTTCTGTGTGTAGTTGTGGATATCATAACATAGCCCTTATACATGATTCTGTTTATTTCTTTGGGCTAAAGTTCTCCATGTTGAATGCGTTTTCCTTCAAAGAACTATGGTAAAGATTTTTTTTTTCTTTTTGACAGACAGAGATCACACACAGGCAGAGAGGCAGGCAGAGAGAAGGTGGGGGGGGGGGGAAGCAGGCTCCCCGCCGAGCAGAGATGCGGGGTGTTCCCAGGACCCTGAGATCACAGCCCGAGCAGAAGGCAGAGGCTGAACCCATTGAGCCACCCAGGGGCCCCTAGAACTTTGTTAAATAGATGTTTGCATTTTCATTGTGCAAGTAGGTAGTTTTGATAGCTCTCCTTTGCTCAATTAGAAACAGACCCGTTGTTAGTGCAGCCTTAACAGAGTGACATTTCCCTGCTTGCTTTGTTTTTAGTGGGCTCTCTTGGCCCAACTTTGTACTTGCAGTGCATGTTAAGATGACAAAGTCAAGCGTGCTGGTTATAAAGTTCCCAGATTAAAAAAAAAAAAAATCCAAGTCTGGATTTTAAAAGATTTATGATTACACTCTCCAGTTTTCTTCTGCATTTCAAAACAGAGTGTTAATATTTCCATTGGCTAGAAAGAAATCTGAAGATAAAATTTTCTAGATCCAGGAGAGGGAAGGCAGATGGGGTTGGCTACAGATGATGGAATTTTTCTTCAGTCCTAAAGAATATTACAATTTGGCAAAGCATCTCCTGGAGGAGTCTGTTATTTTAAACTGACTTTGTAACAAATATTTTGTTTATTTGTAATATTTTAACAGATACTTTAGTTGTTTCTCTTAGTCACTCTGTGAGTTATTCATCCTTTATAATTCTGTCGATGGTTAAAGCAAAGTCAATGGAACATAATGCCTCACCTTTAACTAATTTAGCCTTAATTGTTAAAAGGTCTCTTATGGAATCCATTCCTTGAACTTCTGTTGGGTAGAGAATCTGCTGAATAAAATAAAAATGGATTTGGACCTGCAGTTATCAATTATGTTTAGATATAATCCCTGTTGAAAGGGGCATGAATCATAATTAAGTACAGTTTGCTTTGCCATTGTCCTTTGTTTTCAGATTTTCAAATAAGCTTCAGTGATGTTGTTCAGTCCATCGTGACCAGGTTGTGCAAGTAAAATCCTGAGACTCACATTCTCAAGTGACTGGCTTACTGCTAAGTAGAGAACTCTTGCTGAGTTATTTTGAACTACCAGTTTTGTTAGTTTATTGAAAAAGTTAGTGTTACTGTTGTCAGGTTTATTTGGCACAGCTCCTTCTAAATTTTGCAGACTGATCATAATTTCACTTTCTTTTTGTTACTGAAATCTTTCTTTTCTAAAACTTTAATTTTATTAAACATCGCTACCAGATTTCTGTTTATTATCCAATTATTACTTTTTTTTTTTTCCCCTGAACTAAGTACTGGGTGAAGACATATGGTGGCTTTAATGTAGTGGAAAGAATCTAGCCTCTGAAGTCAAATTTCGAAGTCCTAGTCTTCTTTATTCTATTACCTTTGGCAAGTTATTTAACTGCTGTGAACTTTGGTTTCCTACTATGTAGAAGGGAGATTATAATAGGAACTACACAATAGGATTGTTATGGTGAGTCAATGTAGATAAGGTTATCCATTTCATTATTAGAAATTCCAGGATATTTTATGTATTTTCTTGATTCCTGCAAACGGATCCTTATTTTGAGTTTGTCTTTCTGGAACTAGGGAAAACCATAGAGTATCTGAGTATTAATCATATCTCTAAATAAATTTAGATAAATAAAGTATATAAATTTTTTCTTGGCTTCTCGATTGTCTTGTAGTTCCAGCCTTAGGGGAGGTGGCTGAGGAGGGAAGATACAGAAAGACTAAAACATAGTGTTTCAGGGTTTATGATCTGGTGGGGATGGATGCTTCATTGGAGACATTTAGCCTTGCCCACTCTCTTGGCTTCCATGACGAAGCCTTCCCTCACTTCCTCGATAAGGACAGACTCCCGTGGCACTCTGTATTTTGCAATGAAATAATTGTTTAATTCTTTTTCTTCAGTGCCTTTCTCTTCCTACGACCTAGTATATTCCATGATGCCAACAAACCACCTTTTTTTCCCTGGTGTTTCTAGTTCCTAGTGCATGTCTTGTACACAGGTGTATGACAAATATTTCTTGAATGATTAAACAAGCTCTTGTGTTAGAGATGAAGGAACTGAGATGCGTCTCAGATGTGACTTATCCCAAGTCACAGGCTTTCTATTTCTAGTAGAACTTGGATGTCTGGTCCCCTATGCTGTAGTACTCTTCGCTCTTTCCTACTACATTATGAAAATGTGTGTCTAGCGAGGAGATAAACAATACTTACAGGTAACTTACAATAATACATACAAACAATACTTACAGATAAACAATACTCACAGAGCAGAATGTACACACACTCCAAGGGGTTATGGAAATTGAAGCGAATAAAAAGTCCCTTTGTCAGGGGATGGATGGAAGGTACAGGAAGGCTTAATGAAGGAGAAGACATTTGAACTAGACATACACTGATAGATTTCAGATGGAAAGGTGTGGGAAAGTTCACGCCAGCCATACACAGTGTTTCATGCCTCTGTATGTGTCATTTTAGTCTTGATATTATTAATCTCATTATTTTAATAAATCTGTAAAATAAAGTGTATGTCAGCCAGCTAACGATCTTGTCTAATTTCAGTGAACAATGTGGGAATGTCATATGAGTATCCTGAATACTTTTTGGATGTTCCTGACTTGGACAACGTGAGTCTGTTTCTGTATAGTATGGTAACAAAAAGTATTGGCAAGGCAGTGTGGTATAATGGTTCACACTGTGAGCGCTGGAGTCCCGCTGCTCGAGGTTCACATTCTGGCTCTTCTGCTTGTTTCCGGAGTTTACCCTGGGTATGATCCCAACCATGCTTAGGGTCCATTCCCATATCTATGAAGGAGGTAACTTCACAGGGATGTTAGAAGGACTGAATGAGAAAATGTTTGTAACCTCATTAGAATAGTGCCAGGTTCGATAATAACTCATTGTATTATTCTTATTTGTATATTTATGATATCAATATAGCTTTGCTTTAAGTATCAGGATTCTAAACACCAATTTAGATATCATAAATCTGTTAACATATAACAATATGGTTGATTCAAGTAAACCTACCAAAATGAAAGCTGTATTCTTGAGGCATGCATAGTTCTTTATAAAAATTAGAAAAGGAAGTCATTGAAAGAATATGTGAATTTTAAAAAACTGTTGAGGATCTCAGATTCAATAATTTTTCCTTTTGATATTAGCAGAAGGAAAATAGCATATTTATTTTAGATTTAGTATCTTTTGCTTCCAGATTTTCCTTACTACATCTACCTTGAATTTTGCTTATTAACATGAGTTGCTGCTTTTGGTAGAAAAGTACTATAACACCAAGAGTAAATAAAATTTGCCTTTCTACCCCAGCTCCTGTCATTTTCCAGTTCTCTGCTCTATCTGGGGAAACATTCAGTGGTTCTCTAGATCACTTGTATATACATATAAAATATGGTTATTTTACATGATGATATGTATATAAAATTATCAATATTTTCTTTTTCAGACCATCAAGAAACTGATAAATATTAATGTTCTTTCTGTTTGTAAGGTAAGTAGCTTCTTTATAAATATGTCTTCCTTTTTTGGTTTGTTCTATTTAAAAACACATGATCAGTTCATGCACCTCAGCTAGCTTCTGCTTCCATAGGAGTATGTATTCTAGATGAAGGCGGTTATTTCCTTCTGTCTTCGGGAAGTAGAGAGAACCGAAGACTGAACAAGTGTGTAATTTTGCTTTTTAACAACTGAGCCTATGCAAACAGTGTGGTAGGTCCTGGGACTACACAAACAACCTAGGCCGAAGATTGATTTTTACAAAGTTTTCCTCTACACATGGTTCTTCACTGATAAATTATTTCCATTTCGCATCCCCCGTGACCATGTAAGTGGATGAATTAAATGTTGTGGTGAAAGCATTGTGCGGTAGCATGGGGCTATAGTAATGAGTGGTTTTTATTAGCCACACGTCAACATCATTCTGATCAAGTTTTAGAATGTAAGTGAGGTTCAGTGCGATTGACTACGGAGTCGATGACCAAGAAAGAATTCTTGTGATGTCTTTGGTGCAAAATAGTGGTTTATTTAAACATGGAGATAGGACCCGTGGGCAGAAAGAGCAGCTGCCCTGAGGTTGTGAGGGGTGGCTGATTTTATATATATATATATAATTATATGGAGGCGGTAAGGAAAAAGGGAGGTTTCAGAAGAACTTTTATATGCTAAAGAGGACCTATAAGATACCGGACACCAGAGGCCTTGCATTGTCAAGCGTTTCCCTCTAGTAAGGCATTAACCTCAAGATAGTTGGGAGAGGGCGCCTGGGTGGCTCAGTGGGTTAAAGCCTCTGCCTTCAGCCCAGGTCATGATCCCAGCATCCTGGGATTGAGTCCCGCATCAGGCTCTCTGCTCAGCAGGGAGCCTGCTTCCCCCTCTCTCTGCCTGCCTCTCTGCCTACTTGTAATCTCTATCAAATAAATTTTTTAAAATAAATTAATTAAAAATTAAAAAATTTAAAAAAAAGATAGTTGGGAGACTCCTGGAAGAGTGTCCCATGTGTCCTACCCAGGAGTGAGGGGTGGGGGAAAGGTTGCAGGATGTCAGCTTCTGCTTTGTCCTCAGCTTGCCTTCTGCTCCCTCATCAATTCTAGTTTCTAGTTGGTAGACACATTGCTTGTATGTGCCGACAAAAGACGCCACAGCTAATGACGTGCTAAAAGGAAAATTAGGCAGCAAATCTGAGCACCTGAGCACCACTTTTCCTTATGTGTTAGCAGTCACTCAGAGTGAGGCGCCATACCTTGATTATACATCCTAGCCCAGCAGCAAATATTGCCCGAGGCAGAATTTCCATAGACAACGTCAAATACATCAAATTTGAACCTACGGGAGTCTCCCCTTATCCACAGGGGACTTCCCATAGATGCCTGAAACCACAGATACTACCAAACCCTATACATACTATGTGTTTTCCTATACCCGTGATGAAGTTTAATTTATAAATTAGGCTCAGTAAGAGATTAACAATAATAAAATAGAACAGTTATAACAGTATATTGTAACAAAGTTTATGGGAATGTGGGCTCTCTCTCTCAAAACATCTGATTGTATGTACTTGTTCGTGCTCTTGCACTGTTCTTGTGGTGATGTGAGATGATAAAATGCCTATGTGATGAGACGAAACAAGGGGAGGGACGCAGGCACCGGGCCGCTGCTGCTGACCTTCTGATGATACAGGTCTGAAGGAGGATCCTCTGTTGACTGTGGGTAACTTGAAACCTTGGGAAGTGAAACCCCAGATAAAGAGCCCTTGTACTGACAGAAAAGCCACGTCCATTTTCAGTAACTCTTAAATGCTCTATTTAAGGAAATGAAAAAATATTGACCTCAAAACTATTAGAATTAACCAGATAAGTAGAAATAAGAACTTAATTAACTGATTTTCACTTGATGGCACGATCTTGATCTTTTCCTCTATTGTGAATGTTTAAAGAAAAATTCTCCTTGTGTCTTCATGTCCTGAGAAATCATATCTAGTACATGCTTAATTTCAAGTGTGGGGACCCGAAAATCTTATGCCTTGTCTAACTGTTCAGGTATGGCTGTGCTTAGTTCATTCAGTTTTTATGTGGTTTTGTACATGTTGTTTCACATAAACCGGCCACCAGAACGAAAGCTTCATTGTGACTGTCTGCATACCATGTGGCATTTGATAGCTTGCTACTGAGAGTCACCTTATCTGAATTATTTTGTAACATGACCATAATTTTTTAAAAGAAATAATCACAGTATCTTTTCCACTGTTGTTTTTAACTGGGGTTTTTACTTACATGAGATTTAGTTTAAGTGAGATAAACTACTAACAAACGGATCCTTGATTATTTGGAACAAGACCCACACACAAAATGGAAGCTTTTAAAACGGGGTTGGTATGAATATATACAAATAGTTTAAAAGGTATTTCCCTTGGCACACCTGTATAAATGTTCACATTCTTCAATAATCTGTGTGAGGTTTCAAGTTAATTAAATAACTCTACTATTTACTAGTTGTATGACCTTGAACAAATTACTTGCCCTCTCTGCTTCCGTTTTTCATTTGTAAATTGAGGGTGTTAATCTCTTTACCTCACAGAGGTGTATTGGGAATTGAGCAAGGTAGTATGTGCAAATCACTTAGAAGAGGACCCAGATCATGGTAAGGACCCTAAAGAATGTTACTATTAAAGATCTTTAGTAAAAATGTGAGTTTATTTTTTAGCGAGCTAAGTTTTTTGATCAAAATTAACATTCTGGTCTATAATTTGTATGTTTTATGGTTTTGAAATGACTGATGTGTACTATTGTTTTGATAATCTTTTCTAGGTACATCTGGCCAAATGCCTAAAAATAATGAGTGTTAAAACTATGTACATGTATTTCATAATATGTTTTAATGAGTTAATGATGAAAACTATGTTTAAGTGTTTAAATTTGATTTTATAGAACTGTTGATATTAGCTACAGATTTAGTCTTCTGATACATTTATCTCCTCTGATAAATTTAACTCTTCTGTGAGATAAGCCGTGTAAAGTTTTACTCTCGATATGTTAGGATTTATTTTCTCCTGTAATGTCCTGCTTGTGAATACTTACATGTTTGTATTCCTTCATAATATAAAATGCTGACCTCCTCTGTCTCCCAGAACATGTGTTTTTGGCTGACAGTCTACAGAATACTAATGATAAAAGGCCAGGGCCTTGACCTTGACCTATGAGAACCAGTCAGCTTGCTGTGCTCCACAGCTGCACACAGCATCCTCCAGGAAGCATCTGAGCACAGAGCAGGTGTGCTGTTGGTGATCACCTCATGTCTCTGCTTTGAAGATGAGTCGTGTAGCGGGGGAGCATTGCGGATAAAGCAGTACAGATCCAACAGCACTGTATAGTACCTTTCAGGTTCTTGACAACAATAGCGAGATAAGAATGAGGCACCGGTCCTAAGACATCGGCAGATCACAAAATGCTTCTCCCACTACTTCATTCTTCCTCTTCCACTTTCTCTTTTCATGTTGACGTATGTATTGGTTCCCAGGAAATGAGTTGGGGGGACGCACGCTGACTTATTAAAATGTCCTATCATATCAACTGTGAACCGTATGGGTGGGAAGTGTCACCGCCAGAGGAGCTTGATATATGGGCTTCACATTTTTGTATGGAAGCCTGATTTTTTGCAAGTCAAGTCCCATTTACAAAGCACTAAGGGAGTTTACTATTTAAACACTTCTACGTCAAGCTGAATAATCATCCTTTATCTTTAGTATAAACACAAATATTCCTTTACCTGTGTGATGTGTGCTTTTAGTGGAAAAACAGTTCAAAACTCTTGCTTGAGGGGCGCCTGGGTGGCTCAGTGGGTTAGGCCGCTGCCTTCGGCTCAGGTCATGATCTCAGGGTCCTGGGATCGAGTCCCGCATCGGGCTCTCTGCTCCGCAGGGAGCCTGCTTCCCTCTCTCTCTCTCTCTCTCTGCCTGCCTCTCCATCTGCTTGTGATCTCTCTCTGTCAAATAAATAAACAAAAAAACAAAACAACAACAACAAAAAACAACTCTTGCTTGATTCGTTGTGGAGCTAAGACCATCTGCAGGACAGCAACATGGCCTTTGTTGGGCTGTAGACAGGATCCGTGTGGTTGGCATCTTGGCCGCACAGTTGACTAGGGCATGTTCAGGGGTGAGAATGTTTGACTCGAGCAGCCGGAGGCAAGGGTTGTACAGTGGCTGACCAACCAGCGGCCAGAAAGGTGAGTGAGGACACAAGTGTGTAAGAGCTGGGGTGCTGGGCTCGAGAGGATGGAGAGAGCCATAGGAAGCCTTAGAGCAGAGATAAGGTGTGATCTGATGTACATTTTAGAAAGGCGGGTCTAATGACAGAGTGACATGGCGTTGGTGTTTTATGGTCTCTCTGTTTATTTTCATTGTACTGAAAAAAGGGCATTCACCTTGATGAGGTTTTCTGTGCAAGGCTCCCAGGTTTAGTGTCCTTCGGTGCTGCTGTGATGTCCCCTCTGGTGTATTTTGATGAATTGTGCTTCAGTTGACTGTGTTACGTTGCCGTGGCCAGACCTCCATTTTCTATAGAGATGTAACTTCTGTTGAGAGCCCTGGGGTAACTTAAAAGAAGATGAAAATTGGTCTGGCTCTAGAATCTTAGAAGATTTTATGGCGACTGGACATCAAGAGAGTTAGGGCATGGGTGTCTGCTGCCTAATGTCATAACACAAGTATTGAAAATGGGTTTAGACAAGAAAGAAAACAGCCTCTTCTCGTCATCCGTGCTGGCCCAAGTTTTATCTCTTCACCAAACCATACAGTAGGGCCGGCTGGCCGAGAAGCATGCCTAGAAAGATCAGAGAGATCAGTGCCCCCTTGTGACCTTGGGCTTCTTCCCCCAATCTGGAGATGGTTGATGGGGAAGGCCCCAGCATCTTGTTGGCAGTCCAACAAGTTGATGAGCACTGAATGACCTGGATCCCTCAGATCCAGGATTATGGCTTGGTCCATGTGCTCCTGTG